ATATATAATTGAATTTAGAAAGGAATGAGATAATTAAAAGTAAGATTGAGAAAACTGGGGGAAGGGAACAATTATTGAGAAAATGTTAAAATAGTAATAAGATATGGAACAGAACACAAAGATGAATATGAAATTGAATTTGTGTTTGTATGGAGAAGTGATAACCCAGGACCATGCTATTCTCAAAAAAAGAAATTTTACTTGTGTATTATGTTTTGTGAAAACCCAAATAAAAATTTTATAATAAAAAAAAGACCAGAAGGCTGGGGAGGGGAGGGGGCAGCTTCACCTTCGGAGGGAGAATATTCCACAGAGCTGGGGAAATGGCAGAGAAGGCTGTCTTCCTGGACCCTGCCAGACCAAATCCGTTAATTAACGGTAAAGGGGGTTGAAAAATGTCAACTCTAAGTCATTTCCCCACTATTACTAACCATGAACATGAATATTTTGTTGGACCATTCCTTTTTCTGTTGTTACTGTTAACTGAATGGATGTTTGCTGTTAAAGAGATGTTTTCCCAATTATTTTGCATCTTTACTTCATGTTCGTTCTCCATTTCTTTTAAGATAGACTACGTGGTTTATATTATATGGGATATTCAGGTCAAAATGCTTTCCCTTCCATATCTGAGAAAAACATATCTTGCTTTCTAAATCATTGCATCAAATAATGGTCCATTTATCTGTTTGTTAAATTTATATAGCCACCTATCTCACTCACTTCTGTAACATACAGAAAACAATCCATCCCAAAACATAACAACAAGACTCATTAAAATGGTAGAAGGATAGATGAGAAAAACAGTTGATTTCTTGAGCTCCATATGCTGACAGTGGTATTGTTAAGCTGCCATGCAGAATACAGATAAATTCAATAATAATAATTTATTAAATTTATATGTTTCCCAATGGTATTGATCTATAATGCATTAAACTAGGATTAGAGTCATTTGATCCAGTCAATATACATTTGATCCTTATTGGGCACAGACTTTCATTTTATATTGAAACTATATGTTTCCTTCCTTTCATCATTCATAATTCTCCCCTTCCCCATACTGGATTTACCTTTTCATTTTACTCAGTCAGTTGCAACTGTGCACTCTTCTCTGCTTTGTTCTGCATTTCTTAAAATCCTGTAATATGTATTATGCTTGCAATTAATAATCTTTGAAATATTATCCCAGGATAATAAATGGCTTAATATTTCTCATTGATTAAGGTTTTGTCTATCTTCTCTTCTAAAGGTGGCATCTTAGCTAAATTGCAGCACATTGGAGGCCAAGTCCTTCGAAGGCTAAAGATATTATCCTGCAAAGGTAGGAGCTGATTGTGTTGTTTAAAATAAAGACAGTCTACATGTTTAATGTCATAATTTACTATTCTTTCATTTAAATGCAACCATTCACTGACCATAGTGAGTCCTGAGTCAAGTTAGACCTTGCTGGTTTTCCATCTTTGATAAAAAATTGTAAAGGATTTGCCACAGAAAAAAATATTTAGAAGGAAGATTGGTTGAGGTGATTATTTTAATTCTGTGTGCTTTGTGATGGAGAAGAGGACAGACTGAAGTCTCTTTAGAGACTTAAAGAAATCTCTTTTTAGACTGTGGACTTTTCCATTCTGAGTCTCCCAGATTTCACTATCTGGAAGTGAAGCCAGTTTAAGATTCCCTTTCCAGTTTTTATTTTTTTTCCTTTGCTTTGGTCACAGGAATGGCTTGACATTTTGTCCAGACTGTATTTACTAAAGAGGTTTGTTGGTGTCTTATCTTTCTTTAATTGATAAAAATCATCCACAGATTTACCATTTGGTGGAGCTTAGAAGTGGAAAATGGCAGAGTGTCTGTCAATTTTCTCTGATTTTTTTAACCAATCATTTCATTGTCTATCAATGAATTAATTTACAAAGAAAACATGTCAGCTTTTCATAGTTCTGCTGGCAAAAGATGGCAAAAATTACTTTGATGCAGACTGAAAAAACATAGGTGGAGGTTGCATTATTGCTAGTTGGGGGTGGGTTGAGAATGATGTCTTGTAAAATGATGGATGGTTATCTTTGCAGTAACCAAAAATGTGGATCTGACCTTAATAAAATTACGTGTGTACTGTATATTCTCCCCCCCGCCGGCCGCCCCATTGTTAATATAGTCTCCTTTGTTAAACAAATATCTGAGTGGTGGGAAAAAGATATTCCTGTGCAGTGGTGCTCAATGGTGTAATGAGTATTGTAAAGTCACATTATAAACAGGGTTTATTATCATCTGTGCTGAAAAGTTAAAAAATAAGTATGAAATATTAACACAGTTAAGAATCTATCTATCTATCTATCTATCTATCTATCTATCTATCTATCTATCTATCTATCTATCCATCCATCTATCTATTTTCTTAAGTTTTTGCGGGTACTTACATGTATGGTATTCAGCTTTGTTTGGGTATTTTCCCATGTTATTATAGTTGTGATTTTAAAGTTGTAGCAACGTTTCGGCAGAATCTCATCTGTCATCATCAGGCATCTGTATTGTGTTTGTCTGTGAGTCAGACTTTCACAGCCATTTCTTTTTTAAATTTGGTGCTAGCCTACTGCTGTGCCAGAATGTTTTTTTTTCTTCATCCTGATTGGTTGGGAATCTTGGTCTGTGTTTATTGGTCTTGGAGTTTGCTGTGTTCTGCTTGATTGGTGTTTCTAATATCTTCTGTCTGTTTTGTGGCTTTTTTGTGTCTTGATTGGCTGGCAACATTGTGTTCCTGTATTGGAGGCTTTTAATGCGGCTTGGCTCCGAGTAAATGGACGGCTACCATTTGTTAGGAAGCTAGGTTTCATCTGGGTGCCTGGTTGGGGTGTGTTTGAGCTGGAGGTATCAGGGGGGATCTGTTTGTGCCCAGGTATAAGAAAACACACACACACACACACACACACACACACACACACACACACACA